ATTTTGCTAGAATTCATGATGGTGTCCAGGGGGTTTAAGATAGACAGGTGTTTCATATACACATTCAAAACCCCTGGAGGAGTGGCATGTAGTGCCAGAAATTGATTAAGAGGGCTGGTCAGGTTAGGGCTGTGCATTCGTTCTCATTAACTTCAAGAGGATGAAAACCAGCTTAATTGATATATCTTACTAGATGCTACAACACTGACGCATAATGCAAGAAGGCAATGCAGGAATACTGCTGTTACTGCTTTAAGAAAATTAAACAAGGCTTCAGATAATATCTGACACACAAGACTGTAGCAATGAACTTTTGAGTAAATCTTGCATTTTTTCTTGAATATTGACAGTCAGCTTTATATTAACTTCATCAAATGTGAGAAAATACAAACCAGCAACTGACCAGAGATTTTTATATTTAAAACGCATTGAATAGTATTCACTTAAATCAAAATGCTGAGTGGTGCAGGCATGTCATTCCTGTCTTCCTGTTGCTCTTTTTAGGCTGATAAAATCTGTGGTAGCAGTCTCACAATTATATGTCTAATGAATGCTAATACAATTTCTAATTACCTTTCTGATTTTGTGTAACACAATATAATGAAAACAGTTTAAATATTGTGTACCTTTCACATCAATACATACATGCAGAGGTACATTTTTTCTCAGGTGGTAAAACCATACACAAGCTGTCTAAATAGATTACAAACAGAGGTAATGCTTGGCAAAATTATCATCTTGATTCTACATGATTTGAGAGCTGTCAGCTGTGGCAAAGAATTAAAGAGTTATCAGTTGCTTCTTTATTGCCCTTAAGGAGATGAGCTTTACAAAATCGCTTTGTGTTAAAAGGTTATGAAATGTAGTTCTGATTAAAATTTTCTTTTGAACACTTGAACTCCCCACTCAGAATTGCAACTTTATTTAAACATTTTGTAGTCATTTGTTGCAACTAAATAGTTGCATTTAATTGCACTATTGTTTAGAGAACTGTATGCCTTTCCTCAACTTTTCTACTATTTGATTATATATAAGATGACTTGAAGGCAGTATTTACTTTCTGGTAACATTTCAGGAGAAAACTTGCAATTTTGTAAGGGTAGGTGAAAAATCAATTATAACTGATGTTTCCATAACATGCCTGAGGTGTGGAAGGTAAGTTCGGGCAAAAGGTTATTTTCTTTGAATTAAGCAGTCTTGTAATATGTACTAAAAGTGCTCTATTTCATGATAGACAACAGTTTTGAAATAGAGCCAGTATGTTCTGTAAACATTTTACTCTTTTTCCCGAACAATCTGAAAGGTCAATTGAATTCAGGATCAAGACATTGGGTTGTATTTTCTAAAATCGTATCTGAAAATGTCATTTATCTGTCACAAAAAATATGTCACAAAAAAATCATGTCTTATTATTCCAAAACAGTAAAAGAACACAAAGTCTAACTGGACAGAAAATGGAGTCTGCGCACTTATTGGAATTGAAAACAGGCAATAGAAGAATTTCTATCAAATAAAGGTCAAACATAAAGTAATCCTTTGTGAACCTTTTTTTTTGAACATGAGTTTATATCAATATGTGAGAAAACTTTTCTTTCTATTTCTCAGATAGAAGGCAAAGAAAAATAAGCATCCAGGCCATTAGCTTTTACATAACCTTGAATTAATCTTTTTAAAATATATAACTACTTCAGTGACTGAAATCTGGGGCAAGAGGGAAAGTAATATTGCTCCTATTCAGTGATCAGTTACCAAACAATGGTACTGTCCGAGAGCTAATACTGTTTATAGTTTTCAGACATTTGGTATTTTAAAAGACATAGCAGACATATAAAACTTAGTAAATGAAGTAATTAAATAATGGTTTTAATACCATATATGCAGATAAGTTCCCATGAACTTAATTTATACAAAATAACTCCAAAACACAAACGAATTCTTAAGATAAAATAGCTATTTAAAAATTTTGTTTACTGCCTTTTTGTCAATCTTGCCAATGTTTCTCATTTAATAAGTTTTCAGATCCAGGTAACATTCTTAGATAAAATGTGTTGGCAAGTTTCATGAAATCTCATTTGAACGTTATTTCAGAAAGTTGGCATCAAGTGCATGTGTCTTCTTACCTCTTGACTATTGATTGTAATCCTGTTTCTACTGATATTACCTAAAAATGTATACCCTCTTATAAGTGTTTGGAGATCTTTGCAAAGGTTTTGGTTGATTAATGCATCTTGAAAAGGAGTCACTCTGTTTTGGCAGCTGTGTTAGATGTTTTGGCAAAGAAAGGGACACAGTCTGGAAAGTTTTAAAGTGCTAATGTACCATATCTAAATTTAGATGGGTTTTGTTTCTCAGAATGTTTCACTTAGATCTTTGTTCAAGAGGTGAGAGCCAAGTAATGTCTGCAGGTGGTGCAAGGCTGAGATTTGCAGCATTCACTTCTGAGTGGATTCCCTGTGAAATTCCAGAGTTGTGTACTAGGTTCCCCACATAGTGAAAATGCCAAGATCTGCAAGCATTAACAATCTAGCCTGTAAACCATTAGGGAGTATTAAATTAAATTGTACCCTTTGGAAAGATTTGGGGGTTAATTTCAGATTTGTAATCATAACTGCAGTTTTGATGTTAAGTAAAAGCACTTTCTAAAAATAAAACAGAAGGTCTAAGGAGTTCTAATTGAGTATTTTCCTTCAAAGTACAGCTGGATAAGAAGTAGGTACATCTTCCTGCTTTCAACACAGTGCTAAGCAAAGATACCTTATGCATGAATATCTGACATATTACACCTCAGACCATTCAATTAGAAATTTTAGCCACCTCATTCAAAAAGCTATAAATTCTGTCTTGAATGTCAACCCAGTCACTGGAACATCTTTAAAAGCTATTGCTAATGTGTGTCCATTGAAGAAGCCACTCCAGCTAGAAGTGCCTGCCAGAAATTATATTTTTTTTAATTGAAATTTGGCCTCTGAAGGTCTTGTGCTTGACTATCCCCTCTTTTAGACTAAAATCTTAAATGTTTCCTAGTTGTAGATATCATTTCTTTATTTCAGACTTAACAGAAAGGAATGTTTGAAATGAAGGGTATCACAGCCAAAGATTACCTTTTCCTTCCACCTGCCTATTCCCTTATTCATGGAAAGGATAAGGGAAAAAGGTTTTTTTTTAGGATTTGGGGGATTCAGGTTCAGTTCTAACCTGTGACTGAGACATCTCATGTTTGCGCTCTTCTATTTAAAGAATTTTACATTAAAATGTTGAATTCATCACTGAAGCAGTAACTACCACTGAAGCCTTTCCTTGTGCGCTCTAATCTGTAATATACAGAAAAAGCCCATGTTCTCTCTCCTTTTTTCCTGCTCTACCTGCTAACCACTTCTGTACCAAGTGGAACAGCATCAGTGGGTGGAAATGCAAATGTTTTTACCTTGAAATGGCCTAATGCTTCTACATTGCAGCCATTTGGTGAGCACTGAAGCTTAAAGCTCCTTCGGCAGAATGCACTCTTGAAGGACATACATGGAAAACTTGAATGTGAATTCTCTGAATTCTGATTGGATCCAAGATTAAGCCAAGCACCAAAGTGTTTAGCAGAATTTCTACTTACTACCGCCAAATGACATATCTATAAAATTTCATGTGGAAAACTGATTGCCTTACTGCTCAGAGTGCCTTCAGCCCTGGAGGTTTAATCAAAACCTGAATGCAGGTTTTGATAAACAGTTTCAGTTTAGGTTCCCAAAGAACTAGGTAGGGTGAGGAACTTAAATATTTCTGTATCTCATCTCCAAACTTGATGTTTGTGCTAATAATAGTGATGTAACAGTTTACAAATAAAGCAGAGTTCTTTATTTAGCAAATAAATCAGGCAATTATATATTGACTGATGATCTATTACTAATCACACAAAATCAAACATTTTTCAAGAAATATTTTCAGTAATTCTAGGTTCTACGTCCTTTTTTTTTTTTTTTTCCCAGATCATCTCCTTCTGCTCATTAGTTACTAAGAAAGCAAAATGCAAAGGGCTACGTTATACCTCAAATTTGTTTTGTGTGAGAGCAATTGTCAGAGTCTTGGGCTCTGGGATGTGTTACTCAGTTAACAAATTTCTGCATTAGATAGAAAATATTGAAGTTAAAGTATATGATAAAAATGGTTAATTCACATATCCCAAAACTGAGACTCTTCTTCCTTACTTCCATATTTCATCCATACTCCAATTCTAATACTGAGAAGCTAGCTTTCTCAGCACCCTATTAGCAGTTGAGAATTCAGTCAAATAGAGGGACTAAGGGAGATTTTATTTTACTTTTCAAATTTACTTCACTAAAAAATGAAAAAAAAGGTTCTGAGGACCTAGATTTCAGTGAAAACATGGTAAACTTTTTCCAATAATATTCATAAAAAGAGATGAACTTGTTTTCAAGTATACATTCCTCAAATGATATTCAATAGCGAAAGAAGTGTTTCAATACAGGAGATGTTAAAAATAATGGACTAGATGATAGTTTCAGTAATCTGGGCTGCATTTTAACCATATTTAATCATTAATTTAGGTAAACTTCCTATACTAAGGCCTGTTGTTTTGTTGAGGAACAGCTATTTAAATCATATAGAAATTATTACTTTTAAATATGGGAAAGAAGGTATTACTGAATACCTAATATATATTGCATTCAGATTCTATCCTCTAGGTCTAAACTATGTTAACAGATAGTTTGCTTGAATTTTTTTTATGTATCATATGCATCTATAGTCAGTAGCTGCCAGACAAATAGAGGTGATTTTTTCACTGAGTCATCACAGCTTGATAAGTCATTTCTGTTATTATGCGCTGAATATTTAAAAGACAGAAATTTGCTATGAGCTCCATACTGAGACAAAGCAAACCTATAGGACTGACAAGGCTGCGCCAATAAAGTGAATCTGCTTCTAGACATTATTGCTAGACATTTCTCACTGATATTGTTTTTTTTTTCTTCCTCTATTTCCCTCTGTAGAGGTCCTTCTGTAGTGCCATGATAGAGGAGCTAAGAATGTCTCTGAAGTGTCAACGTCGATTAAAACACAAGCCACAGGCCCCAGTTATTGTGAAAACAGAAGAAGTTATCAACATGCACACGTTTAATGACAGAAGATTGCCGGGTAAAGAAACCATGGCATAGAGCTGGGAAGCCAAATACCCCAAGCACAAACTGTCATCTTTTTTCGAAACAACCTTGCAAGAATGTTTCCTGTGGAAATATGCAACCTGTGCAAAATAAATGAGTTACCTCATGCCGCTGTGTCTATGAACTAGAGACTCTGTGATTTCAGCAGTTGCAATGGCCAGACTCGAATCACAAACATCATGGATCAATCAAGTTATGCGGGGTTACACTGTTAGTCATGGGTTTCCACCATTCTGAATGAATGAATGTTCCACATGAGTTTTGTGGCTGGTTTCAAATTCAGTCTCAGTGAGAAATTACAGGTTTCTTTTGAAGTTCAACGGTTGCCAGGAGATGGAAAATAAATGTCCAAGATGATACTAACCGTGGAAGGAGTCTAGTAAGCATAATATCTCAGAACTGTAATGGAACAAGAAACCATATGCTCTTCTGAACTTCCAAACATAGAAGAGTTGGTAACTGCTGGTAGACTGAAACTACCATCTGGACAGGCAATATAAGCTTCCTGGATGGGAGAAATGTTAAAGTGAAGAAACATGAATCCCATGATTAGAAGGATAAATATGAGGATGCTCACTTACTTTTTGGACTGTCTGTGTCACTGAATTAAGTAAATAAATAATAATTAAAAAAATAAATCAGTAACTTAAATTTACCTGGGCTGGAACTTTAATCTAAAAAAAAAAAAAACAAAACCCAAAACAAAACAACAAAAAAACCAACTCACCAAAATAAAAAAAAAAACAACAAATGAACAAAAAAGTCCATAATTTTGACCCAAGTTTTAGATGAATGAAAATTTCCTTGGTACAAAGGAATGTATTTTACAACCTTTAGATATAAATGATTACTTTTTTTTTCTTTAATTGTGAAAAGAGGGAGGGGGTGGGAATCACTGTACTTCACACGTAGAGGGCTTACATTTTAGCTTGAATGGGTTTTGAAACCCTTGTTCCTGCTTCTAATTGAACTCAATGGACCCTGAAGAATTCTCACTAATATTGGAAGTAGAATGAGTCACCTAAAAGAAGTGAATGGGGAGAACTTTAAAGAGGACTGCATTTTTCAATACAGTCACAGTACTAAATGAACAAAATTCTTGAGCAGGTTTTTTTTTTTCCAAAAAAAAAAAAAATGTTCAGGTTTCTTTCTGGAAATGCAAGATTTCTATGAAAATAGTTTTTGTATGGAAATTTTTGTAATACTTTTTATCAACAAAATAAGAACATGTGTTTCTGCCAGGGGTGTGATGCCAAGCATGAATGGTAGTGCGTGTGCACCACCAACGTTTGGTGAAAACTATTTTTATCAAGTAAAAGGAATCTTAGAAGAGACATATTTTCAAGTTAGATAATATAAAAAATAGGTGCACTACCAACACTGCTTACCATGCTACATCCCTGTTTTCCACTAGCCTGATAACATGCTGTCATGAACAATTGTATGTAAAAGGTAAAAGACACAGACCTCTTGACCACATTGTGATAACAGTTGAAGTGCACTCAGTTTGCTGTTTGAAACCAATGCACAAAATTAAAAAAAAAAAAACATTAAAATTATGTCAGTTTTAGTTGTTTTGTTTTTGCTGTGTTATTTGAGCAACATATGTACAGTACTTTGTCTGAGTACTGGTACTTAGCCTCAGCTTAGGGCCCTGTTCTGTTGATTCTTGCCATAAAAGGTATGGCCAGAGAGTTTTCTGGGATTCCTGAGGAAAGACAGTACAACACATTGTGATAAGTTTTTGCAGGATCTAGCCCTTAGTTGCTTCAAAGATAATTTATATGTCCTGCCTGTGACATATAAAGCTGCTGGATATAACATTTTTAAATAATGCCCTACAGATGTTGAATCTTGCACCTCCATCTGTTGTAAATTTATTTGTATATCAACAAAAATATATAGAATGAACTATGAAGGAATGATATGTCAGTCAAAAATATTGTGGAGATTGTCTTTATACAGAGAATAGTTAGTTCAACTAACTTAAAACAGACTAAAATTATCACAGACAATTAGTCATTGGTGAGCAATGAGGTCATTTGTTTACTAGGATTTAATTTAATCTTACTGTCTTTTTAGCACAAGAATGTAAGATATAGCATTCAAATTATAGAAATTAAATCATGAAATTTTGGGGAAAAGGGGAGGTTTGTGTCTACTAACCAGTTCTCATAGTTCTTCATAGAGACTGAGCTGGCCATTTCTGTTGTGAACAGGGACTGAGAAAGCAAATTCTCTTGCATTCATGACAGTTTCATCCCCATTTATGTGATAACCAGGAAGAGGTTATCTTTGTCTGAAGTATAAACAAGATAAAAACATCTTCAGCAAAGATTCTGAAAATGAATATACTTACATAACAAATATTTAAGTTAATTCTTTAAAATACAAAGGGCGAGAAAGTAACTGTCGTACAACAGAATGAAAATTCCTAATTATGGTGGTTTGGAATGGACAAAAAATTAGCTATTGCATTTGAGTGATGATTTACAATAAAATCTGTAAAATCGTGTAATAAAATGCTGTGTTATATTCAAACAAACCTTTCTTTTCTCCATTAAGGGTGTTGAAATAAGCAGGATTCCATTCTCACCTTGATACACATGACTAATTCTCATTAAGCTTTATGTGAGCCAAAGTAGGTGTGAATGCAGAATATGTCCCAAATGTTTTACTGGGTCAACGTCCCCCAAGGAACAAAAAAACAAAATCAAAAGTAATGTGGCTTAATTAAGATTTCAGTGAAATTTTCAGGCTTCTATTATAAAGGAAAATATGGAAAGCAACTGAAGATTTGTATTTTAGATCAAGACTAAAAATGCCTGGCTCCACAGATTCATAGTAGCATAGTCTTTAAAAAGAAATAATCATACACTAATTCATAATGTTACTTTGTTGTTCGTTAGTAATTATTTCTCTGTGTTTCACAGAAAAATAAGATACTTGAGGAAAAACTGGTAACAAAAGGTTGACCCCCAAAGCAGTAGAAATACTACCGGTAGTTTTGTACTCAAAACCAAAAACATAACGATTACTTTTCCTTTCACTGTTGTGATAGAAATCCTTAATTCTGAAGAAAGCTTCCTCATTTTGATAGGCTTCTGAATGGCAAGTTCCAAATTTCCAAATTCTCGTGTAGCATAAATATCAACAATGCCATTAAAATCACTGGAACTACACCAGATAATATCAAGTGAGTATCTATCTGGCCCATGAAGATTCAGAATCTGTACATAACTGCTTATGGGGCTTCAAATAATAGCTCAGTCTGTTGATTTCCCAGGGCACGATGAATGGTGCTTCTCTTTCTGACCTCGAATGTCACTCTAGAGATGCTTTTAAAGCAGTTATAACTCAGTTATATGTGGTGGTACCTGGTGGATGACAACTGAGGTAAAAACTGAAAAGGACTTTTTTCTTTTTTTTTTTTTCTTTTTTTACTGTATCTCTTTCAAGGGAGACAGACATCTATAATCTTAAAAATTCTCAAGACACACAATTTCAACCTTCAAGTTGCCTCAGCATGGTTATACATCAATAAATAACTATGTGGATAATACAGAATATCTATAAATAAGAAAATGTGAAAGGACTGGTAGTAAAAAATTCTAAGCCGAATAGTTGGATGAAATCAAGTGATGTGTGGAGCTTTATAGTAAATGAGGATTTGTCTAGTTATACACATTAGCAAGATATTTCATAATATTCTTCTTATATAAAAACAAATACAAGCATATCCAGGGAGTATCTGGCGGGTACTTAATGAGATACTGCTTCATGAAGTTTCTGTATCAACTTTCAGTTGAAGAATTCAGTATAGGTTTGAAAATACCTTTTCTTTCCTCTTTATATTACATGCATTAATCCTTCCTGATTTCATCCATAAGGTCTTCTAAACCCCTTGAATAACAGAATGCAAAAGACACAACGTATGAAGAAAATAAACCCACCAAAATCCCAAATCTCAAATAGAAGTAGGAGAAATACCCTGACATTCTACAAAATCAAAATGTTTTCATGGTAAAGGAGTCATGAGCAGAGATAACATCACACAAAGAAGTAAAATATAATGTGATAGTAATTTTTGTTTTATTACATTAAGGATATTAGAAAAATATTTAGAGTATTTTAGACACAACTTCACTTAGTCTCCAAATACATTAGAGTTTCCAAATGCATCAACAATCACAAAATATGATGACTAAAATGCTGACTACCTTGAAAGGAGTTTCAAAACTACTTCAGAGGAATCAAGCTTTTGTTCCCAAATGTGTACTGATACAATATTAAATGAAAAATAAGAATCCAACTCACTTTAAGGTGTACAGGAGCAACTGTGGTTTTTGTCATTTTTTTAAAGATGTGTAGGAAAAGAAAGGGTTGCTGAGGTTGACTTGTCTGACATCCAAGATTGTTTCTTTCCAATCTCAAATATGCTAGTGTCCTGTTCCCTTCCAGTCTTGCCTCTCTGCCTTCATACAAGCACCTCTGACACTATCACATTTATTTTCAAAACCCCTCTCTTCTGGCTTTCCTATAAGAAGTAGTTCTAATTAAAACTAAAGTTACTCAAGCACCTCACCTCCCCAGTTTGTATCCACAAAGATAAACACACTATCTTTTTATGTGACTGTAATTGTCCTTCTTTTCATTTACTACCCCTCTCTGTCCCCTGCCTGTGTTATCTTCTCCTGTTGTTCTTGTATTTGCCTAGACTGTAAGCTCTTAGGGGGCAGGGAACCTCTCTTTGGTTTGTTCTATGTAGCACCATGAACTATGGAGCTATATAAATAATAAAAAAGTAGATTTTCTTAAATGATTTTTGAAGTTATAGTTATCTGATTGACTGCCAGTGTAGTAATACATTGTTTTAACTCATTGCCTGAAATCCTAATCACTACAGCCAATAATAATAAAAAGAATGAAAAATAATAAAATCAACCCAAAGGAGCTATCACAGTGGCTCATCTTACTGAAAATGTCTCTACATAGGTGGGGTTTAAGAATATAGAGTATCATGTTCGTATTGCTTCTATTAAGGTTTTAATCTGAAATCAGCTACATTAAAAAATGGAAAAAGTAGGGTAACACAAAAAGAAGGGCTATATAGAGGATGAGCTTTGTGAAAGAAAACTTTAAATTGGTTTAGGCTTTGTAAAGCTATAATTAAACAATTTCTTAAGTTGGGCACTATACACCTTGCATTCCTTCATTAAATCTGCTCACTTAGATCAGCAAGACTCTCATTATCAAAACTGATGCTAATTCTATCAGCCTGGGCTAGTGCATGCAGTTATTCTTCCTCAGGTATAGGACTTGTCATATCCCTTTGTTCAGCTTCATGAAGCTCTTGTTGGCCCATCTCTCCACTGAGAATACACTTGCTGAGAATGCAGTCTGTTCCACCATACAGGTAATTAATGGAGATGTTAAACAGTATAAGACACAGTATGGATCACTTTTGATACATCACTGGCTACTGGCCTGAGGCTGGACTTTCTGCCATTGATCATAACACTTTGATCATGACAGCTGAGCCAGTTTTCAATCTAATATATTGTCTGTATGTCCTTAATATAATTGGAAATGGTTTTCAAAAGATTTTTCTTCCTCACCTTCCCAGTGATGAATGTGAAGCTGACAAGCTTATAGGTCTCCACATCCTCCTTATTGCTGTTCATGGAGGTAGGAGTGACATTTGCTTTCTTCCAGTCCTCACATATATTCGCCAACCATGATGAGCTTTCAGATTATCAAGAGTGACCTCACAATAACATCGGCCAGCTCCCTCATCCTTTGCAGGTGCATCTTATCAAGTCTTATTAACTTATATATGTTCAGTTTGTTTAAATGTTCCCTAACCTGATCCTTGTCCACTAGGAGTAAGTCTTCCTTGCTTGAGATTTTCTACTGGACTCAGGGACCTGGCTTTTCTGAAGGCCGGTCTCACCCATAAAAACCCAAATTGAAGAAGATACTGAGTACCTGGCCATCTTCTTTCTCACCAGGCTTCCACTGCTGTTCTGAAGCTGTCCCACAATTTCCCTAGTCTTCCTTTTGCTGTTGATATGTTTATAAAAGCTGTTCTTGCTACCTTTCAAAATGCTTTCCAGATTCAGTGCAGGCGGGCTTTGGCATTTATGAGACTGACTCTGTGTTCCATGACTGTTTTCCTTGAGATTCTTCTGAGCAGGTCTTCTAAAGCCAAAGGCCAGATTCTGCTGTCCTGAAATATGGGGTTAGTATCCTGTTTTTTGCCCTTATCCTTTTCCCTCAGCACCCTGAAATCCATCATTTGCAGCCAGTACTGTCCCTTACCCTGATTCTTCTGTTTGTAGGTATGGATAGAGAACAGAATCTCTGGGCTCAGTAAGTTATCATCAAAGTACTATAGAAATCTGATTGTGCCCTGCTGTGTAGCAGGGTGCTTCAAGTCCCCATGAGGACTTGATGGCTTTGTGAACATGAAGCTTCTTTTGGTTGGCTGAAGACATAATCAACTTGGAATTTGCAAGAAAAATTATGAACCAGACCCTAAATACCTTTTCATTTTCATTTGCAATATTTCTTCATCTTTGTTCCCTTAGAATTCTTACTCATTAATAAAAAAGAAATCATGGCCTCTGCTTAGAAAATCATAAAATATACATTATTTTTACAGATTTTTTTGCTGCAAAGTCATTTTTGAACATTACCAGGAGAGCCATTGCTAAATATCTGTCTAGCTGGACTTCAAATTTGGGTGACTTCTCTGTTTAGGGGTAAAAATACTAAGAAGATTTCAACTCTGCAAACATGGTGGACAATGTTCACTATCTTAGAGTGAGCATCATGGTGACTGACAGCCACTGGTGCACAGTTCTGCTTTGAAGCATTTCAGACTGACTAGTTACATCAAAACAGATATCAATTTTCAGCATACTTTATTGACAGACATTATTTTGTTCTTTCAGAGAGGCTTGAAACAAATTTGCTTAATGTGGGAAAATAAAAAATCAAACAACAATACAAAACAGACAAAAACTATTTGTGTCAGGGTTCATAAGATCCAGCCACTTTTTCTAGACCAGAATATTATCCTATGACTCAGTAAACTCCCAAATAGTAGAATTTTAAATTACAGACTCATATGAGCTTGGTAACTGCAGAAGCACATGTGTAGCTTTCAAATTACCAGAAGTTGAAATAGCTGCCATATCTGAATCAGTCCTAAATTCAGAAGAAAGTGTCCAATAAGCATTATTGAAGTACAGCTTTATTTGTACTTCTGTTTGATAAACTTATAAGGCTTTTTCATTTTATTGTTTTGTTTCTTTCAATTACTGGTAATCTTTGGCCATAATCTAGCCTGAGGGAGACAACATACTCAAAATAACCCAATTATAACCAGGCTATTGAAATTATCAGTCACCCACATTTTATCTCAAAGCTTTCTTTTCTGCTGATAGGTATTGTAATCAGATTGATAGACTTTTATGTTGCCTTTTTTCTACTTCTGCTACACACGGGTTCATGTTACAGGTATCCTAGTCTAACATTATATTCCAGAAAATACCTGAATATAGCTGATGCATAGAGATAATTTTAGTTTCCATAAAACAGTGAACCAACTCATATTCCACTTGTGAACCTGTGATATCTGCTATTAACAGGCTGCTTCATGATAATAACTTGTGCTTTTTTCATGTATTTCATTGCCTTTTCTCTAAATCTGTTTTTGAATTTCATATTTTGGTTTCATCTTTAAGCTTTGTGTTCATGTAGAGTGCCTGCAAAAATGGAATACTAAATGAATGAAAACATTACATAATAGCAGTAAGAAAAAAAAAAAGTAAGTGGCTTCTCAGAATGTTGTCTATCTGCCTCCAAGACATTCTGGTCCAAAAAGTTTATGTAATAACGTTACATTACCTTGAGTTAAAGACCCACTTCCAGGACAACATTTGTTCAACTTTTCTCAATGTGTTTGGTCCCTCTGTATTATCAAAATCTATACTACTAGCATTGTTTTGACAAGACCAAGTTCAATTAAGCTGCACATCAGCAGTACATCTG